AAATAAATAAATAAATCTTTAAAAAAAATAAAATAAAATGTTATACTCTATAAAGCTTTGACTTAATATTCCAACTGTTCATGATTCTCCTTTTTTTTTAAGGTGGGACATCTTGGGAGCTGTCATTGGTACAGAATGTGGAACAGTAGAATCAGGTTTATCAATGGTCTTCCTCAAAGATGGAGAGAGGAAATTATGCACCCCATATATGGATACTACCGGTTATGGGAACCTGAGATTTTACTTTGTTATGGGTAGGTACATTTTGAACAAATTTTTTTGACCTAAGGCAGAACCTAGGCCATCCCCTATCCCTGGGGAAGTAAGATAGCTAGTCGGCTAACAACATAAAATGATATTCACAAAATATGAGTTCTGCTAGATGAACAAAAGCTCCCACCTGCTTCAGACCAGCCCTACTGGAACCATCCTATAAGAGAACTAGTCCTGGCATGCCTTGATAGGCCTGAAGGTAAAATGCCATATACCTTCATCACACCTCTCCCTCAGTGGTCATAGCTGAAAAGACAATGGGAGAGAAGCTGAGAACAAAATAACTCCTTTGTCCAAAGTCCCTGGCTTCCCCCCAAAGCAGTCATCCAGGTAAGTCATTTGTTTTCATGGACATATCATCATTACATCACTGTTTCTTTGTGGGATGCTAAGAGGTTTATAATACTTTAATAACACTGTCTACTTTTTAATATGTAGCAAACACACAAAGAAAGTGTTCATAAGGTGTATTTTTCTCCAGATTATTGTAGGGCAAATAAGTAGGTAAACATTTAGAAAAAAAACCCAAGGAAGAATGTGGGGGGGGTTGAAATCAGGGATCTCTCAAATTTATCGTGTTAGTTACGTATTCTTCCACTGGATGTCATTCCAGAAATGTGCGTAGGTGTCACATGCCTTTTTTTGTTGAGTGACTCAGAAAGCACAGACAACACCTGGAAGTGAAACAGGAAATAAACATTTAGCACCTTTGAACTTACTTGCAAAGATGTCAGCTCATCAGGACAAACAGGGCCCCTGAGTCTGGGCTTCAGCACTGGCTGTTTATTTCCCTCACATTCCTTACTTCCAACAGGTCAGAGTGGCATGATAAACTTCAGATTATGTCATACTCCAAAACGTTGTCTGCTTGATGCTACCTCATTTTCAATGATGATCTGTTTGATAACAGGGAAGTTGTACATATAAAGTATAATAATGTAATCTTCCTACATTAAGGATCTCCTCACCTCGACTGAAATGGTCTGTATACTTAGAGACCCAGAGTTCATTTCCTTTACATAATTAGAATTCAAACTGGCTCTCATTTTATTAAGAAAGATTCCTGGGAAACCTTAACCCTCCCCTCAAAAAGTTGTAATAAACATTCATGGTTCTAATGTTAAGCATTTTCCCTTTTTACCGTTTTTCACATAATAATTTGCATTCTTGATTTTTTTCAAGGTGACATACTAAATCAACCCCATTCAGTGCCTTCGTAAGACACTGTCATATTTATATAAGCGTCTTTGTAGAAAAAATTTAGTCATCTTTAATTCTTTCTGAAACAAAGATTATTAATGAATCAATTAAAATAATATTGACTGTGAGGAAAAAACTCATTTGAATGAGCCAACAGAACATTATCCCAAATAAAATCATCTCCATTTAATTTTAAAAATTAATTAATTCCAATTGACTATAGAGCACTGAGCTAGGTTATGTGGGGAATACAATGGGGGGTAATAATGGTATCTAAATCTCAATGATTGAATTCATGCGAATCCCTTAAAACAGTACCTAGTGCCAATAGGTACAACTCAATATATCTTTTTTTATATATATAAAAATTTCTTAGAATTCCTGCCCACAAGTAACATCTAAAAGTCAGTCAGAGAGAGACAAATACCCTATGATTTCATTCATATGTGGAATTTAAAATGCAAACAAGCAAAGGAAAAACAGAGACAAACCAAGAAACAGACTCTTTTT